AGCCCAGGGCAGCTCCGGCCCCACCCTCACGGGGCTCCCAGGCCCCAAAAGCTGGCAGTCCCAGGGCCAGCCCCTGCTGGGGTTCCTGGGGAGGAGACAGACTCTTCTCAGACATCAGTGACTCAGCAAGGTCAGGACTAGGGCCAGGTAGACCAGAAGGAGTCATGGAAGGCTTCCTGGAAGAGAGGGCATCTGAGGAAAAAGATGTCAGTGTCAAGGCCAGTATAGACAGTGAGTCGAATTGATGCTGGGGAGGTAGGTGGGAGTTGGAGCACCCGGGACCTCTCATGCTTTGTCGCGATGGCCTGAGGAGCTATGGAAGGGATGGGCTGACTCAGGTGGCCTGGAGGGTGGGCTCAAGCGCGGTGAGACTAGGGGGCTAGAGCCGAGGTGGGGGGAGCTGCAGGAGGTGCCTGGGTCAGGACTGCCGGCCTCAGAGGCCTTGGAGGCCAAGTGGAACATTCACAGGGAGGCTGCCAGGGTGGAGGTGGGGCAGGAAGCTGGGCTGAGAAGGTTCTAGGGGCGGAGGAGCCTGAGGTGCTGGTTTAGGAGCAGAGGGAGGGGGTGAGTCAGCTCTCCCACCCCTACCCCAGGAATCTTCCTGGGTAGGGCCCAGCCCGGTGTGGACGAGCTCCTAGAGCCTTGGGAAGGGCCTCTGCCCTGCCCAGCCCCCTGGTCTCTCTCCTGTCCAGCCCGCCCTACCTCTTCTCAACTTCTGTCTCCACATCCCTCTCTCTCCCCCTCATTCTCTGTCTCTTTCTGACCCCCTCCATCTCCCTCATCTTCCTGTCCTCTCTCCCTTCCTACCTTTCTCTGTCTTCTGAGGCTTCCCTGAGTCCCTGTAACTCCAGCGGATAGTGGGAACCGAGCCCAGGGCCGGGGCAGGGGCAGGGCTGGACACCTGGTGCCCCCGCCCGGGCAGGAGGCGGCAGGAAGCCCGGACAAACCCCGGAGTCGGCTGCCCTGGCCCGCCCACCCCCCTTATCTCTTCCTGGCACCTTCCCCGCTTCCTCTCTGGAAAAGCCATCAGCCCTCCCGCCTTCCCTCCTCTAGGTCCCTGGAACCACCCGTAGGCCACTCTCCCCACCCACTGGCCTCCTTGGAGGGGCCCCCTCACCAGCTGGGCCACACCCCTGCTCTGATTGGCCTCTCAGACGCAGGTTCATCCATGGCTCCCCAGTGCCATCGGGACTCAGGATCATGGCACCAGGGTCTGCCATGACCAAGCCTCACGCCCTTCCCCTGCACGTGCAACGCCCCCATCTGACCGGCTGTGCGATTCTGCCGCTCTGAGCCCCGTGCCCCGTGAGGATCAGCCCGCCTGCCTCCCTGCTCTCCCCGAGCAGGAAGGCCTTTCTGAATGCTCAGTGACCACTCTCCTGTGCCTCGGTTTCCCCATCTGCAGGGTGCGGGGTGTGGACCGGTCCCCTGGCTCTGCTCTTGGGTTGAATGGATAGTCCCCAGGCTGTCACCCTTTAGGCCCAGGTCCGGGGAGGTCTGATTTCAAACTGCCTGAGAGGCCCTGATCCTTCAGGCCGATTACGGGTGGCCCAGTGACACGTTCAACAGCGGCCCCCATGTCCACAACCTGCCACGGGCCTCGGGGGTGCCGCGGGGGACGCTGAAGTTCTCCTCTCCCAGGATGACCTTACGGGGGAAGTGGGCACTGGGGAAGGAAAATGAAGCGGAGGAAAGGGGGGGTGGGGAGGGCCTCTTTTTCAGGGATTTTTTTTTTTTTTTTGGCTATAGGGTGTGTGTGCTTGCTGGAGAGACAGAGAGGAAGTGAGAGGGACCAGCAAGTGTCGCAGTGGTTACGTCGCTGGACTCCCACATAGTTTACCGTGGTTCGCGTCCCGGATCCAGTGGCTTCCAACTCACACTGGGCGCATGTGCGTGCCCAAGATTCCGAGAGGAGAATGGAGAAGGGATTGCGGTGTGGCCATCCCCTCCAGGGGGTGATTTCTCGCTTTCTGTCTTTGTCTCTCGGGCGAGTGCATGTGCCCTGTAACAAAAATATCTCCCTGTAACAAAAAAAGAGAGAAAGTGAGAAATCACCCCTGGAGGGCTGGCCACGCTGCATCCCTTTCTTCTGCATTCTCCTCCTTTTTTTTGGGGGGGGGAGTGGTTTTTGCTCTAGGGCGTGTGCGCTCGCCAGACAGACAGAGAGAGACGTAGAGCTAGAAAGCGAGAAAGCACCCCCCAGGGGGGATGGTCACACCGCAATCCCTTCTCCTCCATTCTCCCCTTGGGATCTTGGGTACGCACGCACACGCACCCGGCGTGAGTTTAAGCCTCCAGGTCTGGGACTCGAACCATGGTTGACTACGTGGGAGTCCAGCAACATGGCCACTACGCTAACTGCTGGTCCCCTCTGCTGCATTCTCCTCCTGAGAGTGGGCACGCACGCACACACCTGGCCTGAGTTTTAAACCTCTGGATCTGGGACTCGAACCATGTCGGCCACGTGGGAGTCCACCTGGTGTCCCTGGTGAGGGACTCTTAGGAAGGCCTGACAGAGGGGCAGGGGTGACTGAGTGGAGAGCTGGCGGAAGAGCTGGAGAACTTCCAGCTCCGGGGCCCAAGCAGCGAGGTGGCCGAGCCCCTGTGCAGGACCCCGGTGTGCGGCGAGTGAGGTGAGCGGAGCTAAGGACCTGGAATCAGTCAGGGGCCACCAACGCCGTCACATTCTCAACCTAGGATTCTTAATCCGGGGGTGCATGTTCTTTTTTAAAAAACAATGATTTTATTTAACTTCATTTATTATTATTATTTTATAAGACCCGAGAGAGGAGGAGAGAGAGGGAAAGGGAAGTGTTGTGAACAACGCAAAAGTGAAGGAAGGAGACCATTGATAGTGATGGCTGGGGCCTCGGGTTCCCACGAGCTGGCCTCTGTGAGGAGGTGACGTCTAAACGACACGGTGGGAGGCAGCTGTGGGCAGACCAAGGCAGAGTTCCAGGCAGGACAAGGGGCACATGCAAGGGCCCTGGGGGAAGAAGTTGGCATGCTGGTCCACTGAGGAAGGCTCGTGGGAAGCTGGAGTGGTGGGGAGGGGGAGAGGGCTGACTCGGCTGGAGTCAGATCTCAGAGGGCAGCGTGCTCCCGCCCTTTGGTCTCAGGACCCCTTTATACTCAAAGATTACTGAGGCCCCCAGGGCCCAGCTGCTCGGCACGCGAGTAGCTCCACCGCTTGGGAAACTGGAAGCCACACAGGAGGCCCAGGTTAGGTTCCCGGACCAACCTGAGGATGGCGGTCCGGTCCATATGTCTGTAACCCTAGCTTTTGGGAGGCTGGGGTGGGAGGATTATGACACAGTGAGACCTTGTCCAAATGCCTCTCTGTCTCTTTCTCTTTTGTTCTCTCCTCTCTCATTTAAAAAACAAATAGGGGAACCAGCAGTTAGCGTAATGGCTATGTCGCTGGACTCCCACATAGTTGACCGTGGTTCGTGTCCCGGACCCGGTGGCTTAAAACTCACGCCGCGCGCATGTGTGTGCGTGCCCAAGATCCCGAGAGGAGAATGGAGAAGGGATTGCGGTGTGACCATCCCCGCTGGGGGGTGATTTTTCACTTTCTGTCTCTCTTCTCTGTCTGTCTGGCGAGCGCATGCGCCCTATAGCGAAAAACCTCTTAAAAAAAAAAATAGGGGGGACCAGCAGGTGGTGCCGTGGTTAAGGTGCTGGACTCCCACATGGCCGAACATGGTTCTAGTCCTGGACCTGGTGGCTTGCTTTCTCAATTTCCTTTTCTCTCTCTCTCTCTCTGTCCCTCTCTGGTCAAATTACAAATAATAATAAAACTTAAAATAATTTATTTAAAAACAAAACAAAACAGGCTGGCAAGTGGTGTGGTGGTTAAGGGTGCTGGACTTCTACATAGCCAACCGTGGTTCAAGTCCCGGACTTGGTGGCTTGCTTTCTCACTTTCTCTCTCTCTCTCTGTCCCCCTCTGGTCAAATTAAAAATAAATAAATAAAGTTAAATAAAATAATTATTTTAAAAACAAAACAAAACAAATAAGGGCCAGCAGGTTGCATGGTGGTTAAGGTACTGGATTCCTACATGGCTAACCGCAGTTCAAATCCTGGACCTAGTGACCTGCTTTCTCACTTTTCCTCTGTCTGTCTCTCTCTGGTGAGTGCATCTGCCCTATAAAATTTTTTTTAAAAATAATAATACTGCATACAATTAAATATATAGAGAGAACCTCAAAGAACTTGTATGTATATGAATTAAATATGTTTATATTCACCATATAAGAAATTAGAACAGAGAAAACATTGAATAAAACATTTAATATATATAAGTCAATACAATGAGTTAACAACTAATAAGTATACAATGATCAATAAGTACCAATTTATTACAAATGCTCTCAATAGATTATTGATAATGTTAATTTAGGGACCAGCAGTTAGCATAATGGCTGTGTCGCTGCACTCCCATGTTGTTGACTGCAGTTCAAGTCCCAGACCAGGTGGCTTAAACTCACGCCGGGCACGTGTGCGTGCGTGCCCAAGATCCCAAGAGGAGAATGGAGGAGAAGGGATTGTGGCGTGGCCATCCTCCCTGGGGGTGATTTCATGCTTTCTGTCTCTCTGTCTTTCTGGTGAGCGCATGCGCCCTACAGCAAAAACCTCTTAAAAAAAAAAAAGAAAAGGATATCCCTTGTTTTATTTTTGAGGTTTGTTTATTTCCTGGGAGGGTGAGGAAGAGGGAGAGAGGGAGGCACCTTCCACCAGGTGTTCACACTGCGACCCTCTCCCAGCCCTGCAGCTGGCCAGGGCTGTCGAGGTGGACCTGGCCCTGTACCTGGAGGCCTCCTGTCTGGCCTCGGTGTGGTGCAGTAGCACCCCGTGGCCTGGGCCACCATGGTGGGCCCCTGCATCACACTTCTTGTAGCTTCTTAAAATCTGCACCATGTGGGAACTGGCCGGTGGCGTGGTGGTTATGGGCGCTAGACTCCCACATGGCCAACTGCGGTTTAAGTCCCAGACCTGGCTGCTTGCTTTCTCACTTTCCCTCTCTCTCTCTCTCTCACTGTCCCTCTCTGGTCAAATTTAAATAAATAAAGTTAAATAAAATAATTCTTTAAGAAAAAAATAACTCCACTGTTTACTCAGGAAGAAATGAGAGTGAAAAAAGCAAATCACCTCTTAGTGTGACTATTACTCTTTGAGACAGGGTCTTGCTGTTGCAGGCCTCCTCCGGGGTCTCCTCCGAGGTGCTAGGACTACAGGGACCACCACAAACCATCGGCCTGTAGGTTGGGCCAGGAATTGATCCCAGGCCTCCTGTGCGGTCCCAGCCTGTGGAACACAGCGTCTTAACGTGTGCACACTGTGGATGTGCCCTCTTGGGGGGTCTTATCAACAGTTTGGACCACGGGAACCCCTGAAAGAGTCTTGGAGACCCCTGGGATTTCCCAGACCACACCGACAATTGCTGCCATTGGGCCTTGTCGGCAGTGACAGGAATTTCAGACTTGGGCGAGAAGCAGGCTGAGGGTTTCGAGCCGCATCTCAGGGCTGATGTTCATTCCTGAAAATCCCTGCACGGAGGGGCGGGCGGGAGGCTGGGAGGCCGATGGGGCCCCTGGGGGCCAGGGGGCTCTGCAGGCAGATGCTGCCAGGTGGGATGAGTGGTAGCAGGTGAGGTGGAGAAAATGACAAAGTAAGGGTGGGGGGCCGTGTGGCCCAGGGGTTAGCGCTGTACGGAGGGGTCAGATCCCACGTGGGGTTTGAGTCCAGCTCGGGTCACACAGTGCCAGGTGCACAAACATGCCAAGAATTCTGGTGGGACAGGTGGTAATGCAACTGGACCCACGTAGGAAAGATCCTGGGTTTGAATCTCAGGCTCCACCCCCGCCCCGCTTCTCCCTCTCTTTCTCATGGCACAACTGAATCAATAACGTTTATTTTAAGAGAGAATTTTTTTTCTTTTTTTTTTTTTTTAGGAATTATTTTAGGGACCAGCAGTTAGCGTAATGGCTATGTCGCTGGACTCCCACGTAGTCGACTACAGTTCGTGTCCTGGACCCAGTGGCTTAAAACTCACGCCGGGCGCGTGTGCGTGCGTGCCCAAGATCCTGAGAGGAGAATGGAGGAGAAGGAATTGTGGCGTGACCATCCCCCCAGGGGATGATTTCTCGCTTTCTGTCTCTCTCTGTCTGTCTAGCGAGCGCACGCACCCTACAGCAAAAACCTCTCTAAAAAAAAAAAAAAAATTATTTGAGGGAGCAGCAGTTGGTATAATGGCTGTCTCTGGACTCCCATGTAGTCGACCATGGTTTGAGTCCCGGACCCGGTGGCTTAAACTCACGCTGGGCGCATGTGTAAGTGTGCCACGCTGCAATCCCCTCCCCTCCATTCTCCTCTTGGGATTTGGGCAGACATACACCTGTGCCCGGTTTGAATTTTAAGCCGCCGTGTCTGGGATTTGAACTGTGGTTGACTACATGGGAGTCCAGTGATGGAACCTTTATGCATCTGCTGGTCCCTCAATAAACTGGTTTTTTTTTTTTTTTTGAGGGGTCTT